ATCTCTTGTCTACTCATTGTTTTTCTCTTGGCACTCGTGTGTATCGTTGGTCGGTACGCTTAGTGTGATGTCTCGGTTGGTTTGTGTAGTCGCGGGGGGGGTGGGGGGGGGGGGGGGGGGGGGGGGGGGGGGGGGGGGGGGGAGAGGCTTCTCGCGTTAATATTTTAGCTGTGTATTTGCCGCTGGCCTCTCAGTAATCCTCCTCCATTATAGCCCGTTTTGTTGCCGATTATAGACCTTATTTTAGTCACTTTTGGAACACTTTCCGCTATACCAACTTACCTATTGTTTATGCATCTAGCTTTATATAGACTTCTAACTACTTTATTATGCAGTAGGAATCATCTCATTTTTAAATTCCTACCTACCTGAATTTTCTGACCCCTAAAATCCCGGAAAGTTGCGACCCTATTCTAGTTAGTCAATGAGAGTTGCTCACTCTAAGTTATGGCATTAGCCTATAACTAGGGAGTACCCCCTGGGGCCATTTGCTCATGCAATGTGTGGTTACAAAAATTATCCATATCTCATCTCCCCCATGGAGGGGATTTTTCCTTAGACCCCCTACCTCGCTGGAAATTCCAGTCGAGCTTCATACATTTACTTACATTTTTATGCCTTTGAGAACCCGCCACCTCCCAGGAATGTCCAAAAATTCTCCCTTCTGTGGGGGGAGTATGGATATTTGCTGGAACTACACAATGAGTCAATTCATGCAATTGGCATATGCAGTGCCCAGAATATTATTATGGATTATAGATTACTATTGTATTTTTGGAAATAGGCCATTGCACATGCAGTTCTTGGAAAGTTCAAAAGATATTAGGGCCATTTATACGAGGAAAAATGAGACGCGTCTTAAATAAGACGTGAACTTTCCGTATAAACGGCACATTTCGTCTAAAATAAGATGCGGCTTAGCTAAGACGCATCTTATTAGATAAGACATGCTCGTATAAATGGTACAGTTCGCGTCTTATTTTTCCTTGTATAAATGGCCCTATTGTGAACGTGAGGCCCAATGTCAGGTTTACATTAAGCTACATTACATTAAACAGAAATATTATTTCAGAATATTATGTTATTTTTCACAGTGGCCTATTACTGTTTACCATCAGAGAAGGAAAAAGGCGAGAGCCAATTGATCAACATGCACAACAAACAATAATGAAGCCAAAACTAGTTCTTGCTTTAGTCTTCAGTAGCAATTAAGTAAGCCAATTCGATCTTCTACTGACACAAAGTACACTTTACAGTCTTTCATCATCAGTGGTTGTTTTATCTGATCAACATTAATTTATCTGAAAGTGAAGAATGATCATCGCAGTAAATTTTCCAATTTAAGCAATTGGAAAGAAGAAGCCTGAAAAAAAAATCAGGGCTTCAACGGGATTCGAATCTGTGACCTCCGCGTTACCGCCAATTGCTTAAATTGGAAAATATACTGCGATGATCATTCTTCACTTTCATCTACAACTGCAGTTCAAAAATGAATCATTTCATATACTTCACATCATTAATTTATTTGATCACAAAATTACTTCAAATAACTAATTAGCATCCCAACAATGACTAAAAAGCTATAATCATTCTTTATACATGTATTAACCAAATAATAATTCTTTAGAAACTCACCAAAAAGGTCTAAAAACTCTACCCTATAAGGTGGCACATACTTATAATCTTGATCATACAACTGTACAAGAGTATCCTCCCACAGGTATTTAAATAACAACTTTTCATTGAGTGGGTTGCCAGATTGTGGAAAATTAATTCAGTGATTAAAAGAGCAAGGCATATAACCAATGTGCTGTTTTGTTATAGTTTTGCTAATTTTAATAAGATGCAAAATGACGATCAGATAATT